ATGTTACTTTTGTAAGTTTTTATTTAAAATGTAAAATTTATTAATTTATTAATTTTTATTTAAAAACATTAATTTTATTTTTTTATTTAAAAATATTAAATTTAAATTTGCTACGTGATTACTATCAAATTAATTTTTATAAAAAAAAGGGTAAAATTAATATTTTTAAATAAATAAAAAAACATATTAACTTAATTAAAAATTAACTAAATTCATATTTTTAAATAAAAAAATTACAAATTTTACATTCTTACATCTTTTCCCGTAGATAACCCGCTTGACACGTGGCACGTAAGAAAAGGCAAGCTGGTTTACTTCTTTCAGATAACCCTAGACCATTTAAGATTTAACCTCTTAAATCGGAAATCGGGGGAACCCAAAGTCACCGCTCAAATTTGCAGTACCGACTCGCCGTCGCTGTGGGCCGAGGTCCGCCGTTCGCTCCTATATCAATCTTGAGACCTACATTCACTGTTCACTCTCTTTCCATTCCAGGTATCTCTCTCCCCTTCTATAGGAAAGCCCTAGGGTTTGCAGATTGATTTTCTTTCTCCTCTTTTCTTCGTCAACTGTTAAGCAAAATCTTTGAGGAATATATAGCTTCTGTGTTGTGATTGTGTTCTTCTTTCGCTCTCTACGTGTGATTTGTTCTATGTGATTGATTTACATGTTGGTATTTTTTTGGTTTTCTTCCTTGCAAGTAATGGGTTTCTATTTGCTTGGAATTATTACCAATCGGTTTTAATGTCTCACAAATGTTGAGTCTTTGTGTTTAAGCTATTAAATTTATATGGAAAATCTAGAATTAAAAGAGATGAAGAGAATTTTTTTTTTTTTTTTGGTGTAGATAAGGAGAATTGATTTGAACCTCGTAGTTGTTTGGATTTGAGAGAAAATTGATAGATTTGAGAGATATATCCTGTTAACCTTAACATGGTAGTGGTTATCATTTGTCTATGTTTTTTGCTACTTTGTTGTCTGACATGGCTTTCTCATTTGAACAGAGGCCCATCAATTCGTTGAAATGAGAGGAAGGAGTTATACTCCATCCCCTCCAAGGAGTTATAGCAGAAGAGGGGGGAGCCCTAGCCCTAGGGGTCGTTATGGAGGTCGTGCTAGAGATCTTCCTACTAGCCTTTTGGTGCGCAACCTTCGCCATGATTGCAGGTTTGATCTAATTGACGGTCATCTATGTTCTTGGTCAATGACATTGTAGTATAAAATGTTTTTTGTTTCATTATGATGTGTACTCATACAACTAATCAAGACACTTATGATTTTCTTTAAAAGTCTACTGTTACATTCGTCCTACTTATTTTTTTCACTATCAGAAGAAGCCTTTTAAGTGAATTGATAAAGTACTATGTATCTGGAAAGGAGCCTTTACTTACATTATTGTTTGATGCAATCAAATATGAGTTCAAATGTTAATATAGGGAAGGGACGGTGAACAAGTATAAAGTTTACTTGTATTTGGACTGTATTATATTTGTAGTGCTTCAGCATATCCTTGGCAACTTATTATCTATGTCTTTGAGTGTAAGGTGGAAAAAAAATAAATAGCGAAATTTTTGCTTCACTAATAGGAAAATGATGTTACATGAGTTTAACCTCTAAACAAAAGGGGTGCACAATGATGGAATTGAATCAAATTGCTTCTCTGTTTTAAAATTTTATATTTGTATTGCGTGCATATGTCTCTGATAACTAAATGTCATTAATCGTTTGTTTTTTCTATTAAAGAAATATTTACTTATATTGAACCTGTGCTTTCTGCAGGCCTGAAGACCTTCGCAGGCCATTTGAGAGATATGGCCCTATTAAAGATGTTTACCTGCCTAGGGATTATTATTCTGGGTGAGGATGTGCTTGCTAACTTATAAGTTGAAATAGATTGTATTGAACTTGAGGAATAGTTTTCTCTTTTAGTTTCTTATTTAATGAAATCAAGCAATATATTTTTATTCATGTTGCATGTGTTTCATGAAATCAAATCAATGTTTTGGTGACCTTTTGCAACATTCTGGAACTATAGGGTAATGTTTAGGCACTTGGTTTGGCATTTGACTGTCAATTTTGTTTACAATCTACTCCCTCATCAAAAAATTTTTCCAGATGATTGATAATAATTTTTGCACCTCATTTATTTAGATATTTATTTACGACTTTTAAGAGGCACAAGCAATATTTGAAAGC